TTGAGACAGGAACTCACTATGTAGTTCAGCCTGGCTTTGAACCCGCTATGTAGCCCAGGCTGGCCTCAAACTTGCTTCATTCCTCCTGCCTCGGCCTCCCCGGTGCTGGGTTTACAGGTGTGCACCACCACCCAGCTCTGTTTGACAGTTTTTAAATGTATTTTATCTGTGGTGATTTGCATCAGCCACGACCTGCTTTCCACTGTACCTATGCCCCCGCGGCTCCAGTTTCACTTGCCAACTTCCAGCCTGTCAGCAGTCTTTATTGAGGCAAAAACTCATACAGGGTGATCCACGTGGAAAAGAAAGCCCACAGCGTGCTGGAACTTGTGAGGAGATCAAGCCGTGCATGGTACTGAACTCCAGGCAGAGACTGTGGCCAGAACTCTGTACTCCCTCCTGTGGAGAGCTTGCCCAGAGCAAAGATAAGGACAGATCCAGGGGTCACAACTGCGTACCTCAGGAATGGAGTGCTTTGTTCCTGAAGGACCACAAGAACAGCCAAAATAGGGGGAGCTTGTCCGTGTCACAGGAGATGGTGGCCCTGGAGGGGACGTGGCAGTTGGAATAGTAAACAGAGGTAATCCTGCTCTAAAGGGCCAGCATGTGAGAAATGGCCGGTAAATTTTCCGAACACCTCCTCTTTTCAGTGTGTCTGTCAGACATTGCACTGAAGTGGAGAGATTCGTGTGAACCAAGTTGGGAGAAAGAAAACTGAAGGCTGTAGTCTAGAATTATCCTTGTACCACATTTAGCAGTGACAAGAACGCGAACAGATGTTTGCTGTGATTGATTTTCTCTAGGACCTTAGACAAAGTCATACAGCTGACAGTTACTTTTTTAGCTCATGATCACCTTCCCAGCCTTATTCCTGCCTTTTCTTTCCTACTATTCTAGCATGCCCTCCGACCCAGGTCCTGATTGTCCTTGATCTTTTGTCTGGATGTCTTTAGCCCCACTTTTCCTGGTCTCCTTCCCCTGTGAAATGATTTGGGCAGAGTCTCATTTTTTCTGCCGAGGATGAATCTGGGCTTGGACATGCTACTCAAGCACTTTTCCACTAAGCTGTGTTGGCAGTTTAGAACTATCATTTATTAAATAAATCAAATTAAAATTTACAAATAAATATCCCTACTAATTATCTCCAGAATTTATTATCCCCGGAGTTCTATCGCTGGAAGGAATTGATGTATTCTAAATCAACATTTCAGACTAGACTATGAATGAAACTTGTTCCTACCAACTTGCAGTTGCAGTTGGACCTGTCACATTTGGCTACCTTTCCTTAATAAAATCCTTTATAGTTAAATGTCTCACTCATTTATTTACAAAATGGTAAAACCAAGCACTGGTCAGAGAGTGAAAAAAAAAAAAACTCTGATAAAGGCCAAATAAAGCATACATAAGAAGGTAGAATGTTTTAAAATGCTTCATAAAGGGTTGGCTTTTTGGAGTATTAGATTATAGGCAGAGATGTTGCTTAAATGATCTTGGATCCGTCCTGTTCAGGGAAATAGAAAGGTAGATGTTTGCAAAATGGTTCACATATAAACACTCAGCTCATTAAATATTGTCTGCTCTTTTCTTTGATAGAAAAATGTTCTGGGAAGCTCCACTGAAGGTGTTTTGGTTTTTTCTTTTGGAAGTTAGATCTATGGTAGCAGTGTATTCTATTCTGACAGAACCATGTTTGTATATATGAATTCTGTAAAGTTTTGTTCATAGATTTTTTTACATTTGTAGATCCCAAGAGAGGTTAGATATTATCATAGTAAATGACATAATAAACTGGCTTAAGAACTATGTTATTTTCTGGTTCCAAAGTTTTGCTACCTGCTGGCTTTTGTTAAGCATATTCTGAATTTTCCAGACTGTCTTGGTCTTTAGGTCCTTAGAATCGTGGTGTCAATAAAAAGTAATTAACAGAGAAATTCCTTTGCCTCATATAACAGTGTCGGGATTTATTTCTTATCTTATTCAGAGGGCTAGCATTTAATTACTAGCAAGGAAGATTATAATTCAAAAGAAGCTTGGTGAAATTCTTGGCTCTGATCAATTTCATTAAAACAAAAAAAAACTCAGTTCCATTTACTGCCTGGTTTTACTACTACTAGGAGTCATATAAAATAAAATTTAAATAAGTAAAATATAAATTTTTCCATTTACTTAGTATAGTATTACTTACATGCTTTGTACATTTTCTCATCATTAGTGTTAATTAAAACAGATTAACAGTTAATGGCCAGAACGCTCAGAGTTAGACAGGATGTTACAACAATTAGTTGTATAGGAAATCTGTGAAATTGTATGTATGAGCAGAGAATAAATTGGATAGAATTTATATGTAGGTATCTGCATATAATAAGAATTAAAGTCACTTCATCTGATAAATGTAACCTCAACAAATATCGTTGATATGTATGTTTGTATATTTTAAGGATAAATTTTCAAAAACTGAAATATTTTTGGCCAAAACCTTATGTTATATCTGTATGTAATATGTATGCTCTTTAATGGTAGATTAAATAGATACCTTTAGAAGCTAAATAAATCTCTTGTCAGCTGTACAACTCAGAAGTTTTGAGGGTCAGGGAGCCATCCCTTTGACATGTAAACATCTAGGGAATAGCACTCCAACCTCCCTGACACCCAGGGGTTTCATGTAGGAACTTTCTTCTAAACTATAATCATTTGCTTATCAGAGAGATAAATGAGGTTATATTATCCAAATAAAGCCAAATTGGGGTTTTTTTTTTAAAGACTTAAAATTACCAAGTGAATTTAGGTGAACTCTGAAGAATGCACGGGAATGAATGGTGCTGTCAAGTCTTACAGGAGGCTTTTTGTTGTTGTTGTTTGTTGTTATTTATTGGGGCTTTTCTGAGACAGAGTTTCACTGTGTAGTTCAGGCTGGCCTCAATCTCACAGCAATCCTCCTGCCTCAGCCTCCAAGTGCTGGGTTTATAGGTGTGTGCCATGCTGCCTGGTGGGGCAGCTTACTTTTCATCTTGAGACCTTATTAGCAGTGGGCTGTAGCTGCTTGTGTGTATACAGAGGTGGAATTTTATGTCTTTGAAATCTCTTTTTCACAGAGTATCCACAGTGTAATGCTTATTTAATAATAAAACTGTTTTGCTTCTTCTCTGCCTTTCATGAAGAAGAGGTCTGTTGCTAGGATGCACCCCAGTGGCATCCACATGGATCACACGGGTAGTTAGGGGCACAGAGAGGAACCATACCCTTAGGCAGGTGCACAGATAACTGCACTGCAGGACAAATGGGAACAAAAAGGAGCACAGAAGCAGGCGAGGCAGGAGACTTGAGTGGGAGAGGAGATGGGGCTTCCCTAACCATGCATCCGAGCCAGACCAAGGGTCAGATGGTTTTACAGGCAGACAGGTAAGAGGTAAGAAGCCAGAGGAAGGCAGTAACCTTGAAACCAGGAACAAAGAGTGTGCAGTTATCTTTATATACTACAGGGGGGTTGCTGGAGAACGAAGATTAACGATTTTGTTACACTGCGAGTATCCAGCAGTGGCCATCCTCTTTTTCAGGTTTAGAAGACATTATTTTACTGCACTAAACCTCCAGGTGTGCAGTTCTTATTTGTTAAATAGACAAAGACTGCATCCTGCACAGAGGATCCTTGCTGGCAGCTGTGCATGCACACACACCTGTATACACCTCGGTTCTGTTGTGAGAGATGCTAGCCCCCATTCTATGAGCTTTTTCCTCCCATCCAGGATTCCTGTAAACATCTATGCAGTCTATTGTTATCCTGAGGTTTCAGAAAAAGCCCAGTGAACAGAGAATGACAGAGAAGTGGATCTTCCATAGGAACTCACGTGATGGTGCATTGCACCACCTGTTTCAGGAGTTACTCTTGAACAAAAGTTCCGGAGATAGGTAGAGCAACCGTGCCTTCAGCCATGTTCTGGATGATCTTCAACTCTTTTCACTTTGGGCATTTTAATTTTGTTTTAAAATAATTTTACATTTGGGGAGCCTGTATTTATTTTTGCCATCATAAAATGTTTTGCTTCTTCATAAAAACTTGATGCACGTAAAAAGTTAGGATATTGATTCAGAGTCACTGATTCCCCCCTCCCCAGCTTTATATAAGGTTTTATAGTAAAAGTTCAGGGCAAGGTAAGAGTTACTTAACATAGAACTGTGTTTCTAGTAAATTCCTATAGTACATTTGTTGGGAATAAAAGGATAATTGTAGAATCAATTTTATTATTCCCATAATACGCAATACATTTTGGAAAGCAGGAAAATTAAGGGACAAAAATTAGTTTATTTATATCTCTTGATGAGCTGCAACAGTGACTAGCTGGAAAAAAGTGCTTTAAGCCTCAATGTTAGTGAAACCATATGAAATGACACCTACCGCTTTATGCCGTGTATGTGCACGCACGCACGTGTGTGTGTGTGTGTGTGTGTGTGCGTGTGTTTTACTGGTAATTGAATCCACGGCTTTTGCGCTGAGCTGCATTCCCAGTCTTTTTTTATTTTTTATTTGAGACAGAGTCTCACTAAGTTGCTGAGTTCCCCAGGCTGCCCTCAAATTTGTGATTCTCCTGCCTCATTCGAGAATTATAGGCGTGCACCTTGCCCAGCTACATGTCTTCTTTTTAAGATATACTTAAACTCTCATTTTTTTCCACAATACCATTCCTTTTTTTTTTTTTTTTTTTTTTTCGCCCCGTTGCCTTTCTTCTTTTTAAGAAATTCTTAAACCTTCATTTTTTTCCCCAATACCATTCCTTTTTTTTTTTTTTTTTCGCCCCGTTGCCTTTCTTCTTTTTAAGAAATTCTTAAACCTTCATTTTTTTCCCCAATACCATTCCTTTTTTTTTTTTTTTTTTTGCATGGGGGATCAAACTCAGGTCCTTGTGCTTGGTTGGCAGGCAGTGGAGCCTATTTACTATATAATAGCATATAACAATACTATTCTTATATTTATATTTTGTGTTTTAGTGAGATATATTTGTATAAGGCAATTGTGAGAAAGATAACAGGTTTCACTTTGTTTTTTCTTGTAGCTGCTAGGTGAACTGATCCTGGATCGCCACAATTTTGCCATTATGACCAAGTACATCAGCAAGCCGGAGAACCTAAAGCTGATGATGAACCTTCTTCGAGATAAGAGTCCCAACATCCAGTTTGAGGCCTTTCATGTCTTTAAGGTGAGGAACAACCGAAAGAAATAATGTTGTACATAGTTTTATTTTTTGTTTTTTTCAGTTTTAAATGACAAGTTCCCTGGTTTTTACTCTCCTTCACAGAGAGAAAATTAAATCAGCAGTCTTTTTGTTTTGCATAATTTAGATGCAATTTTAGAACTATTGTAGTGAATTTATTTTTCCAATACCAGGAATCAAGGCAAGTGTGGAACCATGGAACTAAATTTCTGGCCCTGTAATGAATTCTCAGTTCTAAACAATTTGCTAATTAATCCATATTTTCAAATATTTTCTTTTTTAAAAATAATTATTGATTGACTGTATTCTCTTACTAACCTAGTTGCATATATCATTCCTTCAATATAGCAATTAGGCAAATTTCTCTTTGGCTATTACATACAAATTATAAATTCAAAATTTCTTGTCCACAACTACCTGACCTACTGTTAGCTTCCCATCCAACACTTGGTTTTTCTGAGAGAGGGTCTCACTATGTAGTTGAGATTGATCTGGAACTCACTATGTAGCCCAGGCTGGTCTTGAACTCATAGCAATCCTCCTGGCTCAGCCTCCCGAGTCCTGGGATTACAGGCATGCGCCACCACGCCCAGCAAGAAATTTGGGTCTTTTTCTAATATTTTTCTTTAGCAGGGTAGTAAAATCACTTCCTAGAAATGTGAAATAATAGATCTATAAGGCATGTGGGAGAAAACTAATCTGTAATCCCATAGTTCTAACTACTATAAATTTTATTTTCCTGTGCACCTATCTGAGGGTTCTTTGTACAGGTAGATTCAAATTGTACTAATGATATTCTCATTTTATCACTTAATGCAATAATATAGGTAAACATTTTCACCGGTGTTATATGTAGCTTTCAAAGCTAATAGGTTTTGGTGGGTTTTTTTGTTTGTTTATCTTGTTTTGTTTTGTTTTGTTTTTTACATCCTAGTTAATCATTGAGTATATTTATTCTAGTATACTTAAATAGTCCAGTGTTATTGATATTTAGGATATTTCCATTTTTTTTTACTTCTGTAAGTAACGCTGCAATGTACATTTTGTGTACCCAGCAAGATTTTTCCACATTTAGGATTATTTTCTTCTGATGGATTACTAGAATAGAACTACGATTCAGAGAGCTCCAGGATTTTTTTTTGGAAAGGCCTTTATACTACAATATATATTCAGTGATAGAATTTATAAATCTGTAAGCGGGAGACATTTGTGAGTTAATTGTTGCTTTCAAAAGTGAAAAAAAAAGTTTAGTCTTCCAGCCACCAGATATTTGAAAGCCAGTAGAGTATGTAAAATCCTAACTTAAATTCTACTCATTTCCATGTGAAATCATAACAGAACTTTTCCTGGAACTTGAAAAGCAGGTTCTAAAATTTAGAATAGTAGAAGTGGCAAAAGATGGGAAATCTACCCTGCTAGATATTAGGATCCTGGGTAGGACTAAATCTCAAAAAAGATTTTTTTTAAGTAGAATAGACAAATGCTAAAAATATATAATTTACTCAAAGTTTAAAAATATACAAGAATGCTATGTGTGGATTCATACGTGTATACTTATAGTCTCAGGAGAGTGAATAATGAAAACTGTCCAAAAGCCTTGTTATATTTGCATTTAGAAGCCTGTAGCCAGGTCGTGGATTTTGCTTAGTGGATCCACCACCTGCCTCGCAAGTGCAAGGTCCAGAGTTCAATCTCTAGTACCAAAAAAATTAAAATAAAAAATAAAAGCCTGTAGCCATTAGAACTGATGGTATAAATATGTGGTCTGATATACTTCTCTCTATTTTCTTATCTGTGTTAGAATTCTTTCATAAAATATAAACAAATTGGATTAAACAAAAATAGAATGCCATAGGCCTGGGAAGCACTGCCATTATAAAGTGATATGCCTTCTTAAGACCCTTCTGACTGCCACAGGGACTGTAGAAGGCCGTGTGTCATGTTATTTAGCTGTATTCTATCAATCATCCAAGATGAGAACACATTTTATAATTTTGTCCAAAAATGCATTTTTAAGGAGGATTTAGTGTGTGGCAAAATAGAAATAGCCTGCTTCCATCCTCAGAGGGTCAGAATTGGATAGCAGTGGGTACATTTAAAATGCTTGACCACTTGTTTACTTGTACCTGTATAAAGTGAGCCTGCCCTGCACCCCAGCTATGTTCCTTCTATTCAGGTTAGGAACTTGTTTACTTCCCCAAAATAATATTTTGCTATTTCGAAAAAATAACAGCTGAGTCCTGTGAATTTTTTTCACAGTACTTTTTAATAGTTTTCCCTAGAAGGAACTTCTATAAAAGGTGCAAAAAATTGTTGTTAATCTGCACTTTAGGTTTAACTGGGCATTTCTCTTTTTCTTTGTTAACTCTGATAACCCTAAACAGGAAGGACTCGCTATCATATCGATTCTCAGGTATGTAGACAAGAGCAGGGTCCTGGGTAATAATACAGTGTCTTTGAAAAGTGCCATTTTCTGACAAGCATCATAATGTTAAATAGCCAGAACTTTTGTGACCTGAAGGTATAGATAGAGGCTTTCCTCCTGACATACTTTCCTTCAGAAACCAAGGGCTTATGGATCTGGAAACCAGAGAATGAGGAAACCAAACCAGTGTCGCCAACAAAACTGCCTATAATCCCAGCACTCTGGGAGGCTGAGGCAGGAGGATCAGCGAGGGCAATTTAGATAGCAATTTAGTGAGACTCTGTCTCAAAATAAAAAATAATAAAAGGGCTAGGGGCCGAGGACATAGCTCAGTACTAAAGCCCTTGGTTCAATCCCCAATAGCACAAAAGCAAAAACAAAAAAACTGCTGATGGAGCCAGAGTACACTGGGGACTGTGCTCACAGAAAGCATCTGACTTGCCGTATTATTTGTAAATTGTACAGGAAAATCAGAGTCAGATTGGCTAAGAGCTCAGTGATGAACACTGTAGAGTCACAGACCTGTGAAGGACAAAAATGAGCTAAGAATGTGAAGGTGCAAGTAGCAGAAAACCAGGGAGAACAAGTAACAGCTAGTTGGAGGCCTCTGATGCATAATGGGTATAATGCTGGAGTAAAGTTTATCTTCACAGCTCTGGGGACCTTGAGGTTGGTCCTCTTGTCAGGTAAATGAGGTTTTGTTTTTCTTTTCTTTTTTTTTTTTTTTTAAGGATCCCTGGAGAAAGAGACTCCATAGTCCCTCTGAGGTACTTCCCTGAAGAAGGGTGTTGAGAACCCAGAGATGCTAAAAAGATGATTGACAACACCTATGTAGACAGATTTAAAGCACTAATACATCTGGGCATGGTGCACACATTTAGTCCTGGAGCCTCTGGAGGCTGAGACAGGAGCTTTGCAAGTTCAAGCCCAGCCTGAGCAACTTAGTGACTTTGCAAGACCTTGGCTCAAAATAAAAATGGCTGGGGATGTAGCTCACTGCAAAGATCCTGGGTTCAATTTCCGGTATTGCTCCTCCCCCAACCTAAGAGACCTAAAAAAAAAAAAAAAAAAGCTACTGAGAAATTTGATGTTGTTATGTGAGAAAAACTGAACACTTCATAGAATGCCATAATCTGAGACAAATCAGATATCTCAATACAGAAGCTGAGGAGGTACACTATAAATAAAGTAGATTTCCAGAGGATGGGCTTTGAGACATTGGAGTAAGTTATTGAAAACGGTCATAGAATCACCTTTCCAGAGAGCCTTTGAGGGGGAAAAAAAAAAATCGACATCCAGGAGGATGTGGAAAATTACACGGGGGAGGATGAATTAGCTGAATTCTTGAGGTCTGTTGGTTGAAAGTCTATTCTTTCTATCACTGATTGTGGTAAAGTGTATTAGTAGCATAGATTCATCTTTTTATAGTATTTTTAGGAAAAATAATACTATACTCTTTGGTTAGAAGATATTTCATTTTTCTAATATATCATTCAATATTATCGTGTAATATTATTTAGATTTTCTCATTCTGCATTGGTTTCTGTATTATGGTAATATAATGGAGGCGAAATCATTTTTATCATAGAATGTAATTGCAAGTAATAACAAGCAAAGAATATCTTTTAAGCTGGAAAAAAACTTCAAAATAGTTAAAATGAGCTATTAAGGATACGTGTGCGTGCTTGTGTGTTGCCAGGGACCAAATCCAGACCCTTGTATGTGCTGAGCATGCCCTGTGCCACTGACTCACATCCCCAGCCCGGTTATTGGGTTAAAATTTGACAGCACATGTTTTGGGAAGCAGTTACTGCTATGTGTGACATTGGTGGTGACTTCTGAGGGAAGTGACAACAGTGACTAAATGAGCAATTGCTAAATGTTTACAAGGATTATTTCTTTTACTCCTCCCAAAACCTAGCGAAGTTTTGGTAATTAAAGTAGGTGACGTACTGTGGGTGAACCTTAGAATCATGCTAAATGAAAGTCATAAAGACTACACATTATTTTGATATGAAATGCCGAGAATAGGCAAACTTCTAGAGGCAAGAGTAGATTAATGGTTTGCTAGAGATGGGGGTCAGAATGGGAGATGACTGCTAATGGGTCTAGAGCTTCTTTTTGGGGTGGTAGAAATGTCCCATAGTTGTCTATAGTGATACACAGCTCTGAATATGCAAAAACTCATTGAAATGTACACTTTAAATTGGTGAACTGTATGCATATGAATTATATGTTAATAAAGCTGTTTTTAAAAGCTTTAAAACTATTATGAAATAGGGGTTATCAGGAGACTATATTTCACCAACAAAATGGCCTATAAACTTTGAATTATTCAATTAAAATTAATGTATCTTATTGTTAAGGAAATTTCCAAACATCCACCACGTCTGGTTGTCAAAAGGCAATAATTATTAAAAAAACAAAACAAAACAAAATTTAGAAAGAAGGCCCTAAACAGATTCTGTTTCTTTGAAGTACTAGTTTACTTAGAAGTTTGTGGTTTTGTTTGTTTGTTTTGTTGTTGTTGCTGTTGTTTGGGTTTTTTGGGGTTTTTTTT